GTATAGATCTGGGGAGCAGAATGTTGAGTTAAATAAGTCAGTCAGAGAAAGACAAATACCATAAGATTTCATTCTTATGTGGAATTTAATGACAAACTGAACTACCAAGCAAAATAGAAACAGACTCATAGATAGAGACCAGGCAGACAGCTCTGGTGGTGGATGGTGTTGGTGGTAGGGGTAGGGTGGAAGAATTGAGCAAAAAAGAAAAAGAGAGACATAGAGAGAACTCAACAGTGTGGTGATTGCTGTGGGAGAGAGGAGTAGAGGTGGAAGAGAGTGTAGAGGGGATAAAGGTGATGGCAAAACAAAACAAAACAAAACAAAACACAGATGTCCCAAAAGGGTTGCTTTAGACTGGCAAGTAACTCAAGCCAATTTGTTTTGCTCCATGTGAGCCATTCCACTAAACATTTGCCAGGGGAAAGATGAAAACTAATTTTTAGGAAGAGGCTTGGTTATCATCCATGAGTTTTATTTATACAGGTCTCTATGAAGTGTCTCTATCCAAATATATATCTTGATGAGTATTAGCATATTGTTTGAAATAGGACTCGGAAGATGATTAAAGTAGTAGATGCTGTCAGTGCTCTATCTGTAAACCCTGAAGACCATCTATTTCATAACTTCTACCTGACAGCACCTGCAACTCTTTTCTTAGGGGCTCCCTTGGGCTGCTGGAGCTTTCCCTGAATGAGTAGGAAAAAGGCTACAATGACAAGGAATTAATATCCACCCCAGCAGTGATACCAATTACTGTTGGGAATGAGTATATAGAGACCCCAGCCTCCTCACCCTACTGTTGGAAAACTCTGAGGTTCCTGTTCTTCCACAGTCTCTCAGAGCTCCTAGGGAGATTCATCCCCAGTTGCCCTCATTAGTAACTGATTTGATAACTTCCCTTCCCTTCTCTGTCTCATTTCCCCACTCCTTAGCTGGTGTTTCCTGGGATCACCTCCCAAATAAATTACCTGTGCTTTAACATAAAAGTAAAATTGATATGACTATAATAAACCTTTTTGCTGAAACCCTTCACTAACTGATATCTGGATAGGAACCTAGCCATGCATTACTTTGATTTTTATTCATGTACCTTAGATAATCTTTTTTATTATTCTTTTCTTGAATTCTGTTTACTTGGTGGGTTTTAATTTAGTGTTTGTTGTTGGGTTTTTGTTTTGTCTGGTTCAGTTTTTTTGGTTTAGAATAGGAGAATCACCTATTTTGCCATGCCCCACAATTTGTCCTGGTCTGACTTTGTAATTCTGATGTCACTTACTTTTTCAGATATGGCCTCAAGGTAGACATCTGGGCAGCTGGTGTAATCACATATATCCTGCTATGTGGCTTCCCTCCGTTTCGTGGGTATGGGCAGCAATCTTTTATTAGCACCAACAAAGCATTTCTCTATTCTCAGAAAGATCTGATCAGCCTGCAGCACAAAAAGACAATAATAAGAATTTGACTTATAACGTCTATTATTTTTTCACGTTGTGCATGCTAATTTACATGCCTTCCATATATCTTCTTCATATAATTTAGAAACTCATTTTATTGCAATTTACTAAAACTGTTCCATATTAACATTTTGAATTGCTTAAAACTCATTTTACACATTTAAGGGGAAAGGAAGGGCTTCAATGCTTAAGAATATCCTGAGTTGACATCTTAGTCCTGTTTTTCTCTCACTGTTGTCATTCATCTAAACAGAAGTGGTGATGACCAGGAGGTGCTTTTTGACCAAATTTTGATGGGACAAGTGGACTTTCCTTCTCTATACTGGGATAATGTTTCTGATTCTGCGAAGGTAGGTTTCTAGTGCTTTCCTCTTCCTTATAGCCTGTGTGTCTTAATGGAATTGTTGATTCTGATTCATTATGTCCAAAAAGACTAAATGATATTGTAAATATGATTTCTGAACAAATTTTATTTGTAATTACTAGTTTTTCTAAGATTCAAAGTCATCAACTCATCTGTTTATAACCATCTCAACTTCTCAAGTGCCTCTATTTCCCTGGCTTCATCTCTCCCTGTTATCATTCCCTTTACCCTGCTCTAGGCTCTTGTCATGCCCTACCCACCCCAGGCTTCAGCCCACCTTAGATTTCTGTGCAGCTCTTTGT